TAAAAGGTTTTAACAGCTGTTTATCTATGACATTGCTTAAAACATATCAACAGATTATTGTCCCTCTAAAACATGTATCCTAAAACTCCCCACTCCCCCTCCTCTCTCTCTCCCTCCCATCTCCTCTTCCCTCTAAAACATGGTAGTGACTCCCTCCCTGACTTATGCATCTCTTCCAACCTCCACCTCCCTTTAATTCTGTCAACCCCTCTGTATTCCCCTCCCTCCAGGCATAATAGGGTGTTTGGGGAGAGTTACTAGAATGCTCCCCTTCCCCTCCAGTTGTCAGCCTCAGGTATGTGGATACACAGTAGGGTATCAATGTCTGATACACGTGAACAACATATGGTCAATGTTTCTCTACACCCTATCTATCAGAGCTTTGTGTTTTGGCCATGGAATTGACTGGCAGTGTATACATGTATCACAAGGTTTAACATAGGCCATACAAGATACATTTTCTTACAGAAGATCAGAAGAAACAAATAAACATGTAAAAGATACTGTCATCTGAAAACCTCATCTCTAATCTCTGTCTTCATATATTCCTCCCTATACTAGTTCCGTACCCCTATCCTCACAGCATCCTCAACCCCTTTACCCTTCTATATAATTGGCTACCATCTCTAACCTCTGCCGCCATATATTCCTCCCTATACTAGTTCCCTACCCGTATCCTCTCAGCATCCTCAACCCCTTTACCCTTCTATATAATTGGCTACCATCTCTAGCCTCTGTCGCCATATATTCCTCCCTATACTAGTTCCGTACCCCTATCCTCACAGCATCCTCAATCCCTTTACCCTTCTATATAATTGGCTACCATCTCTAACCTCTGTCGCCATATATTCCTCCCTATACTAGTTCCCTACCCCTACCCCTATCCTCACAGCATCCTCAACCCCTTTACCCTTCTATATAATTGGCTACCTTCTTAAGATCTAACCTCTTCCTCGATTCCTTAAACCTAACTGAATCCCCAACTTTTTCTATGAACCTCAATAATCATTCTAACCATCAAGCCCTTCCTTTGGTAGAGTGCCAGGCTAGAGCTTGAGGGGTCCTGGGTTCAAATTCCAGTCTGAGTGCTCACCTGCTACATCCATCAGACAGCCATGCATCAGTGCTTTTTAATGTTTTCAACATCTTCAGAACCAAGATATCTGGAGTGATGATATTTCACCTTTCACTTGCTGAAATGAATATTATCAAATATTTGACTTTTAAACCAATAATTGAAATCAAAGGCTGATTACTCTACTGATGGCCTGTATGCAATAAAGAGTGAAATAATCAAATGAGCAATACAGTCACCCACACTTTTTTGAAATTTCTATAGGGGAGATCATGCTCAAAATTAAAACCTAAATAAAATGTGTGTAAGTTTACCCCCTAGAGACAAAATAACCCTTTTAAATGACTTATTCAGAGTTGTGCTTTCAGAGGAAATCGTTACATCTTAGAATAAAGGAAAGGTTAAGCAAATTCACTCATTAAAAATAAATGCTAAATGTAATGGTCCAAAATCATGAGGTCTCCCTCCTAAATAGGGAGAGTTGGCAAATATGGTCACCATTGGCCTCGCGTTCAGTTTCTGTCATACACTCAACCCCATCTATAGAGTCCAATGTTTGAATCCCGGTCAGACCGGCATTGCATTATTAGCTCAAATGACTCGTAGTTTAATAATCTTAAGGCCAGAGGTCATGATATTTGGTCTGTAGTTTGCTGGGGTATATCAGATTAGTTCATAAATACAAATGTATATTAACTTTTCTTCATGTAAGGTTGTAGAAGTCAGATGTGTTTAATGGCTTCAAAACATTTTTTATACTAAACTTGAAGGCATATGAACATGATATTTGGCCTGTAGCTTGCAGAGGATATATTTATAGGGCAATGAAGTATGTTCAAATAAACGGACCCACATACCCCCAGGTATTCAAGGTCATAGGAATTGTGTTCTAAACTTAAAATGACTTCTCCTCTGAATAAGATCTTACAGGTGTGGGGGTTCATTAGCTTACTGGTGATATTTGGCCATTCTGATTGTACCAATGAATTATCCATACATGTACTTAATACTTAACGTCACAAAAGGCATTTATGTCCGTATTAAATCAGATTTTGGTGTATTTGCCAACACCATTGAAACACAGGTGAACAGTACAGGTCTATAAGGCCTCTTGTAAATCTCTAATGGTACAAATATACATGACAGATTTGCACTATACATGTTTGAGGAAATGCACTGTAATGTCTGTGTAGTTTCAGCCCACAGGCATACTTCCCACTTCCTACAAACACATGTTATAAAACAATTACACAAGCAAGGCTGGCAATACTACACAGTGGTGACGAGATAACACACAGCTCATTCTCCTGTTACTGCCAGCAAGATAAAACGCTAGGATGTCTAACCTTGCTAACCTTCCCATATCTTCAATCCCACCATATCCCCCCACCCACTAATGAAACACATATTGAAATATTTTACACAATTTAACATGTGTTGACGCCTGTGGGATGCTTGATCATGACTTTGATTCACTTACTTTTTGGAACTTCCCATTCTTGCTGTATTGATTCTAGTAATAAACCAAACCCTTTATTACACAGATAGTACTTAACAAGACCTGCAACGATATATCCCAAATTGAATCTTGGATGCTCCGTGACATTTATTTCACTTATAAGACTTTGCTATGTATGTTTAATTACCATATTGATTCTAATAAAAGCCAAAATGTTTTATTAGAATGGTTTAAGGATATATATGCTATCTTACTGTCATTTATGTATTTCATTTCATAAAATCTGTAAAAGATTTTTTTCAAATAATAACTCTGCCTTCCTCAACAAAGCTATGGGGGTATTCTCCAATAGGGGTGTGAGCCCATCTGTCCATTCTTATGTGGGTGAAGTCTTGTCATGATTACGCCTACGGTTTGTATCTGAATCGAAACTTTACGGAAGTGTTTGCTACATTCTGAAGGTGTGCACCTTAATTGAGACTTACTATTTATCCTGGTATTTTATACCCCTTTAACAAAACTATTAGCTAAATCTTTTCCAGACAACTCTCCTTCAGTTTTCATCCAAGTTTTAGTGAAACTTTTTTTTACAAACCATACTGATGTCTGTGGTTAATTTGTATGCATTTGAAATCACTTTTTTTCAGTTGTTCTGGGGGTGGGGGTATTAGTTAGTCTGTAGCTTACATTGCTACTTTAAATATTTTGTTATCCATTGATTACAAATTTGAATGGTAACACAAGACATTGTGAATTGAAACCATTTGAGAGATTCTGAAAAAGTCAGAAAAAACGGATGTACAAGGTAACAACTAAGATAAAACGTAGATACTAACAACTTGTGTTCTGGAAGATAAGCCATGTCTAGAAAGCATGATGACATTGTTAAGCTGACCTTTGGTCAGTTCAGTAGGACCAAAGACCAAATAATGGCGGCACTACAGGTCAGATTCCCTACTGAATTGTCCGCCGTGTAGTTATAGCCAGACAACCTCTAGTTCACTGCATGCAACCTCACAACAAGTGCACTGTGTCTCCAGCCTAACCTATAATTACAATCAAATTGGACCAGTCCATATCAAGATCTAATGTATCCCCTTGTTCTGCAATAGATAGTGTCCAAGTTAATTGCCAATCTATAGGACAAAAGAATGTAATCAAAGGTAGCAATTGACATCTAGATGTAGATTGCATTAATATTGCCTGCTCGATTCGCTCTGATTTGTCACTTTTGAAGTACAAACGTAAGTTTCCTCTGTAAGGGTCCTGGTTAGCCTAGATACTCTTATTTCAAGATCTCAATAGAGGTTTCATTTGTGTGCATTTAGTCTACATGGCTTTGACTGTTATCTAAGGGACTCTGTCAGTAAAGAGCCTCAAGTTCAAATAGATCCCTAACCCTTTCATCTCAATGTAACTTAAGTAGACTTTACCATGCATTGATCTGGATGTGTCCATTATGGTCTACAGAGGTGAAAGGGCTAATGGTGGCTACAGAATTGATATACAGGAATAAGTCACTGGTGTAGCCTTATTTTAATCTCCACGAACGCACCGTTTTTGTTCTTTGAGACATGGAACCTATGGCTTTGAGTCCAAACTAGAAAACTATTTACAATGCAGAAATATCCTATAACTTAAAGACGAAGGGTCTTATTCTTACAGTTTTGTTCAATGTTATATTATTAGTTGGCCATTTTGGGGTTCATTTCGATTTTTAAGGGGATTACACAAACGATTTCGTTAAGAAGAAACATAGTTTGAAGTCACTGTTACACTTTCAGGACTTTGAGGTACTTACAGAAAAAAATCAAGGTGGGGAAGAAATAATTACTGGGAATGAAACCCTAGCCATCTTGTGTGTTGAAGACTTGATTGCTGCACCCCACTGACTGGGCCTATCTGCCAAATTAACACACAGCAAGCAGTATTGACTTAGCTACATGCATTGACATTAAGGCTACATAGTTTAAACTATGTTAATTAGTCAACAATGTACCAAGGTACCTCTGTTTCACTCACTCACCAAATTACCTGCCCTGTCTCTAAGATTACCATAAATGTTCATGTATAGTGCACATTTTTAGGGGAAAATGATAATATCAAAAAAGGGGAATGGACAATATACACGGGAACAATCCAAAACCGTACTTCGGTCATGACAATTTATTGTGGTATAACATTCTGATTTTATATACAAAATTAGCAACAACTGAAAAAATATTTCTGCATTCAATCTGACTGCCATTCAGTATCTAACTGATTGTCAAATGTAGCCAGCTGAAATATACCCTAGTATTCCAGGAAGGCTCCAACCTCAATACTGTAGTTTGAATTTTCCATCAGGATTGGGATTGAACCCGAAACAGTTTGCTAAGAAAGGTCAGATATGTCAACCTGGCCAATTATTGTCACCAGTTGGTACCAATAGGTCTGTACACTAACTGATTTGTTTTCTACTTTCAGTTACAAGTTTCCGAGCATGCAGAGTCTGGGCGAGGACCTGGTTTGTGTCCTAGACCAATTGGAGTAAGTAAGAAACGAAGATTACTTGGGCTTCATGACAACCATTTTTCTGACTTGACATTTACATTTCATCAATTATGGGATAGAGGAGGCATATGGAATTGCCATGTGTCTGTCAATCAGTTTATGTGTATAACATATTTATCATGCTACCTTCATCTTAAATTGAATGAAACCTATTGCAATTTTTTGGCACAATGATTGGCTGTTGTTACTATAAATAGAGCTACTTAGATTTTATGTATTTTAATAAAAAAAAAATGAGCATTCAAAAAAAATATTAAATAAAGATGGAATTGAAGGGGAGATTATGCTTACATTGCCGTAACAGGAGAGAGAGAAATATACACTGCAAGACGAGGGTTCCAGCCCGGGACCCTCCAAACACCGTTGATTGACCAAGAACAGCTCCGCTACTTTGCATTGGAACCTGGATCTATCTGAGGTGTTAGTTTAGGAGGGAAATCTCTGGGACATTATTTCACCCTCGGAATGGTTGCTTTATGCTCTGGTACATTAAGTTGATTGTTTCTTCCCAACTAATGCAGTAGCTTGAAAATTAGGTGGGGCTAAATAAGAATTCCAAACCTTAGAATTGAAGTCTTGAGTAAGTCATCTTAAAGTTCGTCTGTATACTTACTATGAAATTTTGTGTTACAGTGTAAAACAAGTGATTGGGCTGGGAGAAGGTGCTGGAGCAAATATTGTCGCCCGATTTGCTGTGAGTTTCTAAAGGAAAATCCTTATATAAATATATATATATATACAGAGTCTTAGAACCGTGTCACAGTCTAGACGGCTTAAATATTGTAAAATTACTGTTGGTTCCTGCAGGAAAATGAACGTAAATTGTTTAGAACCTTACAATATTTCAAGACTGGTTGTCATTTTATAATATTGAAGTCATCTTAATATTAGCAAATTTATCTGTAAGTCATGGTAATGATAGTCATCAATCAATTCATCAATTCTATTACTTATTTCGTATGATTTAAGGAATTATTCATCTTTTTTCCTATATACAATTCATAATTATCGTTTCCATTGAATGTGATTAATGTGTTCAGTGCAGGAAATAGTTATTGGAGTAGGATGTTACAGAGTTATAGAAGCCATAATAGAATAGGGAGAGGTATTAGAATTAGGAGTGGTCGTAGGATTAGGAGTAGTATTAGAATTAGGAGTGGTCGTAGGATTCGGAGTAGTATTAGAATTAGGAGTGGTCATAGGATTAGGAGTAGTATTAGAATTAGGAGTGGTCGTAGGATTAGGAGTGGT